CTTCCTGTGGTCAGATTGTTATGGGATGAGCAGGGGAGTTTTCCAGCACTATGCTTGATTCAGTTAAGATGGCTGGGAGATATTCCACTCTCATGACATACCAGCTTCCAACACATGTGGTTCGCTGTCTCCATTTTTTCTTTTGTGCGTGTGTGTGTGTGTGTGTGTGTGTGTGTGTGTGTGTGTGTGTGTGTGTGTGAGTGAGTGTGTGTGTGTGTGTGTGTGAGTGAGTGTGTGAGAGTGTGTGAGAGAGAGAGAGAAAAGAAACACCTAGAGCAGGAGAAAAAGGGTGAACACTGTTGCATATAAAGATTTTTTTTACTTTCAGGCAGAAACAGGTCTTCTCCAACTCACATATGTGGGCAAGGTGTGTGTGGCTGAGGGTTCTGCGCTTACAGGAATCGGGTTATGATGCACACATCACAGGTTGCAGCTGATTCTGTACTTTACATTGCAACAAACAAGATAGCTTAAAACTAAGCAACCACTAAAATAATAGATCAAAAGTTCTGAGATACTCACACAGAAAGCACTTTGACTCAGCTCTGCGTGCTAAAAGCCCGGGGGGGAGAGAAAACGAAGTGCAATTTTTGTTTGTAATATTGGAAGAATAAATAAATAAATAATCCACAGTAATTACAGTCAAAGGTAAACACTTCACAGCAACAGAGATGATGTCCAAGCTCTGCAGAAGCAGAGGAATAGTAATGGAGTGGTGCATTAGCTAGGTACTTTCATACATAGTCTGGATAAATGTGGCGAGTAGTGATTTTTCTCGCAGAGCTACAACCAAAAGGTCTTTCTTTAAGTGTGGAAGCACAGTGAGAAGATAAGAAGCCGGGGTCCAGGAAAATGATAGTTATGATAGATAGTCCTGTTGTGTAATCATGTATGGCTATAAGTTTACTCAGTGTAGAGTTGATGCACACCCTTATCCATAACATAAAACTATCCCAGATCCAAAAAGTAAATATGTTTTTCAGACTTTACTATAGTGCTCATAGTTTGAGTTATTTTCTTCCATGAATTACATCGTTTCCTTGTTACCCAGAAACGGATGTAGAGGCAGACTCAAAATCGCATCAGTGAGCTAACAATGTATAGTAAACATGAACAAATTGCTGTTGTACTGATAACAACGCCACACGGTTCAGCTAGTAGCACAAGGATTTCATCATTTGTGGCACCACGCTGAAAGCACTCTGCAGTTCGTTCATTCGTGACCTTGCAGCTGTAGCACTGGTAGCTGACGCCTTCCACCATCTGAAGCAACGACATGATGTAACTTCACAGCAGTTCCTGATAGGCAGAGTGGAACGTGAAATTTGAAGTTATTATATCTTGACGTATTAACTTGAAATTTTGAGTTATGGGTGGAAAAAAATAAAAACGTTTCAGCAGCAGAAACAAGCTCGCATGCAAACTATTCCAAGTCAGCTGATTCAGTCAATGTAGCCGTTAACCTCCTATCTTACCAAGATTTATAGAATCTGTAGTTATTAAAAGAAAAGTAAGTCTGGATTGTGAACTTACACCATTATCACTCACACAAATTCAAATGTAACGCGTGCATGTTCATATGCACGTTTTAATAGTCACCACAGGGTTTCAGTTTTAAGAATTAGTGTGTATAATGTAGACACACAGATAGTTTAGAGGCATTTTGGGACAACCTGCCCTTATTCTCAATCATCCAACACAGCTTCCAAAATAAAACACTTTGTGACAGCACTGATGAAGGACAGATTTAAAAAATGAAGAGACGTCAGGGGGGGGGGGGAAGGAGAGAAGAAGTGCATGGAGAGGGGAAAGAGGAATTGAGTTTTAAGAAGAATATAAGGAGAAGAGACAGTGTGGATTTAAAAAGTCCAATCTGTGAGGATATGCTCTTATTACTAATGAGGGGCAGATGACAGCAGTGGGGGGTGAAAGTATTGAACACAGTATTAAACGTTCTTTTCATCACTTTAGCTGTTGACGTGACAGAAATATAACTAAATATCAGTAAAAACAAAGTGTGAGCGTCAATATGTAACTAACCTACGAAGATGAATTGGTTTCACTGCCACTGCCTCAAAAACACCACACACACAGCTGACTTAGAGACCGCCAGTCTGAGATATCTGGATTGGTTTGTGGGAAGAAAGTAGAAACTCCAGGATTGCCCCAAAAATGCAAGGGATGTTCTGCTGAACAAGGCAGTTACAACACCACCGTGCTGCTGTGGAGCTGCGCAAAGGCAACCAGCAGTTTGAATTGATGGATGTGATTTTGTGTGCATGACACAGTGAAAGCACCATCTGTATTTTCTTCATCTGTGCAATGTGCGCGGCGCACGTCCAAATGTTTTGGATGGAATGAGATGGAGCGAAAACAAAAGGAACGACGGCCAAAAGAAAAGAAAGGAATTGTAATTCTATTTGAATTGTGTTTTTTCTGAGCATCAGTTTGAGTTCACTTTAGCCTTTTTCAACCCAGCGTGAAACCCAACTTACCAATGAAGTAATAAGAAGAGAAAAGAAAAACCTTTCAAATTTAAAAACAAAAGTCCTTACCAAGCCTTACGAAATACATTTATTAACCCACCAAAATACTTTTCTTTTGCATTAAATCTACTAAAAATCAATTCTTAATAATTGGAAATTCTACCAACTATTTGACATGCCAGATTTATTAAGGAGCAAACAGCATTGCGTCAAAAACAGTTGCTTAGAAGTGAGTGACAAACAGCCCGTTTGTTTCACTGACTTTTAAGGAATACTTTTATTATAACATAAAATTATAAACAGGTTTGTATGTTATATGGCTGACACTCAGTTTTCATGTCACTGCTTAATTTTACAGTTTTGCATCCTTGTAATGGCGTCTTTTCGTGGTCGGTCTGTCTTTATAAATGTTGAGCTCAAGAGGTTAAATAAAGTGAATGAATTAAAAATGTCTCTTTGGTGCAGGGTTTATACTGAGTAGTGCAGAATAATTACATTGCACATAAAAAAGAACGTTTTAACACTGTTATATGCAGTCCCATAGAAATCCAACTGAAGCCTTAATGCTTTTATTGCTTCTATTGTAGTCTTGGTTTCCTGTTCTTAGCTTGTGGCAGCCTGTATGTTCCTCCGTTTCAAGGCTCCACATGTTGTGTGTTCAGACACATTCTTCTACATAACTTGGTTTCAATAAGCGGTTTTTTGAGTTACTGTTGCCTTCTTATCAGCTTGAAGCAGTCTGGCCATTCTCCTCAACGAGTCAGACTGGATATCCTTTCAGATCGTTCTCTGTAAAGATGTTTGTGTGGGAAAATCCCAGCAGGTCAGCAACCCATCCGTCACCAAAAACAAGCCATGTTCTAAGTCACTTAAATCTATTTTCTTCCTCATTCTGATAATCAGTTCGAGCAGGTCTTCTTGACCATGTGGCTCATTAGAGATTGGCTAGTGAGCACATATTAATAGATATGAAATGGATTACTCGTTAAGTTAGAGATATATTTTTTATTTTTGGCAGGTGGGGCAGAAAGATTCTTTATGAACGCTGGTGTGACCACGAGAGTATGTTTCTTGGGGTTTGCTTCCTTTCTTCTTTTACTGCCTTTCTGCGTGCAGTTGTTTTTACTCTGATGTCCAACCAAGCTCTAAATCAACATCAGTGCTATATATTACAGAAAATGATTCCACCTTTAAGCTTATGCCAGAGATACTGAAGCTCCCCTCTCCTTTCCTGAACATTAAAACCACATTTTCTATCTAAGCTAAACTTTACCTTAACAGCATGAGACAGCTATATGAGATCTATGGTTAAGTTTTAAACTAATATGTCATGATGTATTTTGAAATACCAAAACATTTGTTCATTGTGTTCAGACCCACTGAAGTTTCATTTAAAGTCCTCGGGTCTTTAAAATAAATGACATTACATATGATGCATGTGTGTCCACAGCAGATAATGCATCAGATCAGTGCTGAAGAGCATTAAAAGCTTTCTCCTGTCTCTGTAAACATACGGCCCATTATCAAAGCAGCTAAACATCACTGAGAACATTTTAGTGAAACCTGCCTGATGTGGACCGTCAGCCAACAGAACCTCAGAGCATCAGGTCACAGAATACAGTAATTGTCCAAGACCAGAACATTTTACACACACATTAAGTAAATTATTAACAAAGCTGGAAGGGTTAGCCAGTGGAGACCAACTGGGAAGATGAATCAAGCTGTTTAGGTTTAAGACAGCCTGATGGGTTTCTAAGGTAGAAGACAAACTACTGTCTGATGAGTCACACTGCAGCATAAAAGTGTTCTTTTTTACTGTAGTGATTTCCAAACCGATTGTGTTAAAGGACACCTCAAAAAGCCTTTTTTTTATTTTCACTTTAAACCAAACACAATCTGAAAGATGGAAAACAGTTCTGAAACATTTAGGAGTGCAACAAGTTATTAGATGTAAAAGCTTTTAGGTTCTGCTCTTTTTCCAATCACCAAGCTCAGATTTCTTCAAGTTTTATTTCTTCTATTGCAGTATTGTTTAGACACTTTTCACTAAAACAATGCTGACGTTTAGTAAGTGTCTTTTAATGGAATTATTAACCTTTCGATTCAGGAGTTGCAAAAACTGTTATTGGTTACTTTAGTGTGTTTTAAGATAAAAACATGATGACAACATTTTCATCTAAATAAGGCATCAAAATTAGCTTGATATAGATTTAAAAGTATTCTCTTCACCTTCAACACAGACTATGACTGAATAACTGGATTTATTTATAAATGTATAAATTATGATGAACAGGAGAAAAAAATCCTTCCATTTACTTTAGCTGTCTAGTGTGTTATTCACTAAATATACTCATAAATATGTATATACACATGCATATATGTTATTAAATAAAGTTTTTCTTTTAATTATGATAAAAAAAAAAATGCATGTAGACAACTGATCTGAAATGCAGATGTGCCATGTGTGATATTTAATGTTTCATGTTGACTTGTTTTATATTTTTTATCTGTCAGAAAGAAGACAGAATAAAAAAGGAGGACTTGGAAAGAAGAAGGAACGAAAACGGCTACGACTGCACACCAGCGACAGCGTTGGCAACTCAAGAAACAGAACAACCACAGGGGAGCAAAGACATCATGGAGATCCCTGAGGGGGAGACGGACACGATGTAACATGGAACATATATGAAAATATGTCATAAATCCGTATCGTTTCCAAGCGGTCAGAAGCATAAATCGAGACTGAACTAAAAGTTCCTAAGAGGTCGTGCTTTTCACTAGTGTATTAAAACTGTCTAAAGTAGCAGCTTGGTGCGAGGAAAACTCTCCCTTCACCAGGTAAAGCAACCATTAACCTGCCTCCTTGGACTGAAATCCTCCCAAAAAAAAAAAAATAAAAAATTGCTAATTTCAAGCTTCCCATGCAGGAGCAGCAACATATGAACCATCTCTCAATCAGATTTTCAAATAATTATCTTTTAGTGATTTTATAGCCACAGATTGTTACACAGCTACATTTTCTCTGGTCATTTCATCAGTTTAGCAGAAATTTCAAGTTACAGTTATATAATTAATATTGAGTGCAGATTTAATTTTAGAGGTTGAAGTAAAATACCATAGGAATTACAGATGACCTATTTTATGTAGGTTTAAGTTTCATGTACAGTTTTGACTTTTCTTCAGTATTTATTAATAAATTAAGGGGCTTAAAAATAAATCACACCCTACCCCAAACAATCCCCCAACCCCCCCAACATAACTCAGAAGCTTAAAGTCCTGGTCGTGCATAGAAAGGAGCAGTGGCTGGTGAGCAAAGGATTATTAAATAGTAAAGACAAACAGCATCCAGCTAAGTAAAGAACAGGAGGTGGGCATATCATCATCCAAGCACAAAGAGAAGATTACATGAGAGAAATAACCAGAAACTACCCATCAGCCCCAAGAAGAGACAGACGACAAAAGCCAGAGCAGCTCTAGTACAGACAGACCGGACAGAAACTTGGATCAAATTGGACTGCAAAAATATTCAGTTCAATTTTATTTATATGAAATTTGTGAAGAAAAGAGCACGTCAAAAGCTTGGAATGGCTCATAAGTGTACCTGCAATATAATGTGCAAAACACTGTGGAGGAAAGAAAGGTGTGCTTTTGCTTCCCGTGGTCATCAGTATTTACTGAACTCTGATGTGTGTAGAGCAGTACTTTCTACTCATATTTAGCCAAATGCAGCAGAAGCAACCCAGACGTTTCTGAAGCTCACAAAGTAAAAACTGAAGACAGATGTTATAAAAGCAAAAAGCATGACATAAATATCAGGCTTTTTAAAAAAGTGATGGGCATTATTTCCAGAGTTTAGGCTATCATTGCCTACAAATTATTTACTTTACTTGCATTTGAGCTCCTGAAGACTGTGTATAAAGTGTCTGTTATTCATTATCATGATAAAACTAATATAACTGTAACTTGAATCAGTTTAAGAAAATAGCTACGATAACCACAACAAAGCTGTCAGTATCCAACAGAAAATAATGTTAGCAAGAGCACAAATTGTTCTTTGCTTCTTTTTCTTCTGCAGTTTCTAAAGTTGCTATTCCAGTGAACCTAAAAGTGATAAGACTTGCTTTATTTATCCCACCAGTTGGGAAATTACTGTCACAGCAGCCTGAACATGAAAACCAAACTATCTCTATAAAATAAAAAAAAGCTTTAGAAGTCCCACATATTCAAGCTTGTTACTACAGAGTTTAACCTCACACTATGAATTTTATTTAGTTATATGCCAGCTTCTTTCTTTTATTTTCCCCTGGCTTGTCTGATATGCACAAGTATACCTTGGTATGCATAGTTGGTGTAGCAAGATTGAATATGTGGGTATTTCTTCCGTTTTTTTTCTTTTTTCTCCAGAGCTGATAAATGGCTTTGTCTTTTAACAGCTTGCTTGCATGTATTTATCAATATTTCAAGGACAAAGTGGTTTTTTTTTTTATCCACAGCACGAGTGTACATTTCAATAAATGTTTATTTTGATGCGGCATCCATTGTGCAGTTTGAGTGGACAAAAGATCTCACTCAAACAGATCAACTCCATTTAAAAGTATCTAATAGAAATCTTCATGTTATGTTGTTCACCTTTAACAGACTGAAGTCTCTTTGTCTACAGGAACAGTTCTCCGGGCTTCTTGAAGGACATTCAGAGCTCTTCTCTGGATGTTGGCCACCTTTTTCCTTCCATTCTCTGTTGAGATGATCAAAAAGTGCTTAAATAATGTTAAGGTCCAGGCTTTGGGGAGGCCAAACCATGACTGATAGTGTTCCATTATCTGTTCTGCTGTGTGATTGAGACTGAAATATGAAACTGTTGCCTTCCAGATGGTACTGCATGTTGGATTAGACAGTACTTTTCTGTGACAATAACTCTATCAATCTTGACAAGATCCCAAACACTCCTGGCTGCAATGCAACCCAAACCATGACAAAGCCTCCACCGTGTTTTAAAGATGGCACTCACTTTTATAACTCTCTCCTGATGTCCTTCATAAAAGTTGAACTAAAAGTTTCCAATTTGGACTCCTCACTCCATAAGACCTGTTGCCACTGATTTTCAGTCCAGTTCTAGTGTAACCTCAGCCTTTTCTTCCTGCTTTTTCCTTAAGTGTTGCTTCTCAGCAGCCAATTTTCCACTTAGACCATGAAGGGCCAGATAAATCTTTCAGGTCCTGTGTCAGGTCATTTTTCCAGAATATGACATCCAGATAGTGTTCATCTGCTGTAAATATTTTTAAGGGTTTTTACTAATACCCAAAGTCACAATGTCAAAATGTTGTTTTCCTGATTACATATTTGTTCCTATATCAGTCTAAGTACTTCTCACTATTGAATCCTTTAGATATGACTTAAGTGGAAGGTCTTCCCTTACACAACACCAGCAGCAAACATATTTTCACATTGCTGCTAACTAATACAACAGCATTACAAGGCCAATGCATCTTTCCGAGTACACAATGTGCAGAAAGCTGAGCAAGAACAGTCTATAAACTAAAAAAGAAAAGCAAAAACATCAGAATTACATAAGGATATCAGCTAAAATATCCATGTTTAGTTAGTTAATTACTCTCCACGGACAACAGAAAGTTGAAAGTCATCTTTTATTGCACAATAAAAGATCACACATACCATGTTTTGACTCATGAGATTGGTCCACATGGGAATACAGAGTTATACTTACAAAGAAAAAAAAAAAGAAGAAAAAAAAAGATAAAACCCCACCACATAACTTATTTATTAATGACCGGGTTTCTGACTTCAGGATCAGCCAGTGAATCACAGCCTGGTGAATTACGTTGCACTTGGTTCAGCAGTGCTTGGAGAGGGCCTGCGAACAGTCAAATATTCAACTTGCCCCGGGTTCTGGAGGGCAGTTTCACAGACATGAACTGGACAAAGGTGGTGACGTTTTTAGATCCAGTCTAAAGATTTATTTTACAGTTGCCTTTCACCATTTGTCATCATTATACCTAAACTGCAGTTATGCTATTTTTAAATCTCATGGTCGCTTCAAACTTTAAATGACACTTTCCCTTCGGTAAGACGGTGCAACGAGCTAAAAGCAAATTCAAGAAAAACATGGCTGTTAATTCAAAGATAAATTACGATCAGGTGTTCCTGTCACTTTCGACATAAACCCAGGTTGACGACTTCTGGTAGTACGAGTGTATATCAAAAGGTAACAGCTTTTCCACCACATTAATGTCTGAAGTTGACAAAGGAGAAGAAAATAATTGCCGGGGCAATAATTCACGTTTTGTCTTCTGCCAAGAAAACATTTTAGTGTCTGTGAAATTCGATTGCAATGAACTGGAAAAAACACATATGGAGACTGATATTTTTCAGCTTTTGTAATGACTGGCTTGACAAATAAAATAAGTTCTAATGTTTTTATTTTTATGGATTGTTTTCAGGGGTTCTTTAACTTCTGAGGCTGCGTATCAGGGGTGCTCTTCTAATAAGCCACATAGGAGGCCTGAACTATGGAAATGAATAAGACTCATCATTCCCTAATGTAACCTCGAACACTGTCAAATAACACAAAGACTTCATAACCTGTTAGTTTGAGCCTATCAGGATGGAGAAAGAAACAAATATATAACATCCTTAACCAGATTTAGTGCGATATATTTGCATGATGTTGTAGATATTTTCAATCAGAGTTCTAACTTTGCAGTTTGAACTTTAAATGCATGATTAACACGTCACGAATCTGACAGACTCTTCAGGTACTTTACTTGTTTGAACTGCAGATTCCCTACAATGTCAGCTTCAAAACCTGCTAGTTTTCAGTCATCTTCTCGTTCTAGAGGAAAAAATAAAAACAGGTTTTTGAAAAAGTATGCTACTGTACTGCAGCTTTAGAAAGGATCCTGCATCTGCAGACTGTACCAAAGGGTGGCTCACGCTGGATTACCGTGGGGACTATGAAAATAAAATAAAGAGGAGTCAAAGGAGCTTGCCAAAGAAAAGCGTCTGGACTTCTTTAAGTTACTTGAAGACGTTTCACCTCTCAACTGAAGCTTCTTCAGTTCTAAGGTCAAATGGTGGAGAGTCTCAGATATAAACCTAGTGGGAGTAATTGAACATCCCTCTGTGGGGGGTTACTCCCACTAGGTTTATATCTGGGACTCTCCACCATTTGACCTTAGAACTGAAGAAGCTTCTCGGATGAGAGATGAAACGTCTTCAAGTAACTTAAAGAAGTCCAGACGGCTTTCTTTGCAAGCTCCTTTGACTACGATGACCTGGATGACTGAGAAGCTTCACAGACAAAATAAAGAGGAGGTATTCTAAGAACTCTTAACCGTTTAATTTTGATGTAATTACATCTAAAAAAAACAAAAAGAAGAAGACAAATTAAAAAACAGGGCATGTGACATTACCAGATACTTTAAATTCCACGTGAACCAAAATGCGTTTGTCTTTGAGAAAACTTAACAAAACCAGCCACTGGTCAGTCAACAACGTAAAGACGAGAACTGTACAATAAATACATTTTTTATGATAAGAGATAAACGTTTACATTTTTGAGGTGACTGTTTTGAAGAACATTTAAGTTAACCAACGAGAACTTCAATGAAAAGAAAAACACTGTTAAAGAAGGCATGGTGTGACACGAAGAGACAATACAGAGCCATCGCCAGTCGACTTGATTAACCCCCCCCCTGCCCCCGAGCTGTGGTTACATACTGCACCTGCAAGTTTGTTTCACAAGTTTTTGCACAAGAATAAGCCATTAACAGCAAATGATGTGCACACATGACCTCTGGAACGCAACGCTTGCCCGTTCCTTTGAGATAAATCATCTGTGGTGCAAAGCGACTGGCTTCCCCTTCTGATTTGCTCTTTCGGGAATCTCGAATAACACACGACAACAATCAAATACTTAGGCTGCATACATACTGTGTGCGCATTATCATCCTAGATGTGCTGGATACCAGACACAAGGCCCCGTGAAGGAAGAGAATTCTAAAAGATTAAGTAGCATTCCTCAAAGGGAAATTCTGATATTTCCCAGCTTGTGTCTTATTCCTCTAATTATCAGCAGATTTCTTGTGGAGATTTGAGAAGCTAAACACTGCTAACAATGTAACAGGTCAGGGTACGAAGCATGAATAATTACAGCTCTGAGTGCAAAGAAAAAAGCTTTAAAAACGACTGCAGCAGTGAACTGCGGAGCAGCTAGGGTGCAGCGCTCCTCTCCATTAACTTTACAGCTTTAGTCAATAAAAGTGTGCACGGTATTTACCCTACAAGTTTAACTTTGGGATTCTGAAAGTTGCAGACGCTAACCCTAACTCTTCAATAAGACTCTGAAAATTAGATCCACACTGAGTAATCCCAGAATTTCCCTTTAAAGAACAGCATGGCATCATCGAATGATAAAATCCAACACTTAGATTTTCAAATGTTAACCACTTTCCAAACGATAATCGCCACACTGGAAACGTGAAGTCAAGATAGCGTGCAAGTGAGGCTCACAAAAAGAGAAATGAAAGCAATTTTAGAGGCACTGGTAAGCAAACAGTCACTTTTTGTTAACTCTCCATTTGTGCTTTGAGGGATGATTGATTGACCTTTAGGGATAAATGTAGCGATTTGAGCAGTGGTACCTTCCGTTACTATTGGCTTCTGAAGATAATGCACATCACCAACGCCGTGTACGCATAAAAACAAAAAGGAAAGACAAACAATAACATGACCTAATAAGGAGATGTAATTGAACATCTATACAAAAAAATACTCGCTAAATAAGGCATTTTACTTTGAATAATACATAATGAAACTAACAGAAAAAGAATGTCATATTTGGTGAAAGTTTGGCAAAGCAAAAGAAAAGTATAATAAATTATATGTAGCCACAAACTTGTGACAAGGCAACAACTATGTTTGTTTTTTTTTCCCCAACAAGAAATGTGACCTGTAAGGACGAAACAGAGTAGAAACTGCTCCACCACAAAATGTGTGCGCATGCATGCACACATACACACTTTCTCCCATTACACCACACTCTCGCATACACACACACGCACGCACGCTCACACTCACGCACACACACACACACACACACACAATGGAAAGTAAAAGACCACACGGAAACAGGTTAACATTCACAAAAAGACATTGTGCAAAAATAATGTTTTCATATATGAAAACAAAAAGAAGTGAAGTTATACGTTACATCAGAAACATCTGACATTTACCCCCAAAATACACACCCTGTCGTGAAAAGACTGAATAAAACCAGCAACTTGCATCCTTTTAATGTACAGTACAGTCTGTTTGATACAGAAAAAAAAACTGGGACTAAGCTCTATGCAAAAATCCTCTGCGCATATGTCAAGTATTCTTCCCCCTAATGGAGGAACAAAGTAAAGACAATGAAGAAATCAATGGTGCGCTTAAAACAAAAAAAAACAAAATCAGCAATATACAGCGATAGATTTACATATTTAGAAACTCTTAGTATGAACTGCTATTAAAATTAATGTGAGGGGGGAAAGCCAGAGTGATTCATACTACTACCATATCCCTCCTCTCCCTATTTTATCTGTTCTTCATTCTTTAAAAAACAAAACAAAAACAAAAAAAACAAAAACCAGACTGTTCCCTTTCCCTGGACAGATGATCGACACAGCACAGGTAATCTCTTACTGAACACACTAAGGAGAAAAACAGGAAAAGGACAGTGGGGGGGATGACCGACTGATGCTACAGGTCATGATTGTAATCATCATGCAGCATCATTTTGCACTGTTCCTGATGAGATGCTGGTTACCTGATTTGTTGTAAGTAAATGCAATTTAGGACTTGATGAACCCCAAGGGACCAAAAAGAAAAGAAAAAAAAAAAAAGAGCACCTTCTTTTCCTCTACTCTCCCACAGCCCTCCTCCCCACTCCTGTGTTTGCAAGACAGGATATCACATCTACCTCCTACTGCCCCCTGGTGGCCAGGATGAGCTTAGGGTTGATGTTCCTGCCCTTTCATGTTTTCTGATTAGAGCTAACCACTTGAGGGGAAGGGAGGGAGGTGGGGGTCTCCCAAAGTGACTTTGTGGCTGAGTTAAAAAATAAAATTACATGAGCTAATAAAAGTAATAAAACAAATGAATCTCATGATTGTTCCTTGCCTTTATAAAGAAAAGCAAATGAGAAAGCATATGCCTAAGCCTCTCTTGATAGCTGTTCGGAATTTCTGCTGTACTGCTGTTGTGGGAATCTGGATTCATAATCTAGTGTTCACGTTCGATTTATCTTTGTGATCTACTTTATGGAGGAGTTACTGCAGCAGCAACACAATATTAAGAATCATGATAACATTATAATTAAAATAAAATATGCATCTAAAGCATGGAGAACTTGCAGAATATCTTAAAGTTAGGATTTAACATTCGTGACTGGGATGGACTAACCTGGCTCGTATTTTGTGATCTTCTAGTTAACATTATTCTCACAATTTTGTTAACTTTATTAGGTATAAAACTAGTAGAGACAAATTAATTTCTTCTAATTTGGCAGCCTTTTTAAATGCACTAAACATACTTTTATTCAATGACGCCCACAATCATATCAACGTGATTTAGATACATTTCAAAAGGGCTACTTTCTAAAATCTTTGTGGGTCTGTTGTGTTTCTGCAGCAGACACTGGCTCTTGCATATTTAGATACTTAGGTTGTTTTTTCTGTTACTATCAACTAGGAAAAGGTGTTTTAGTGTCATATCTGAATGACTGTTCTCCTTTTAGATTAATCTAGTCGGCATGAACACTGAACATTGCACGAATTTCCCTAGATTTAGTGGAGTGTGTCAAAACACAAGATTTAATCGCTCCCCCGCATGAGCTTTTCAGAATTTCCAAACTGTGGTGAGAAAAATAACTTCGGAAAAACCACTTCTGGCAGCTGTGCCCCACCTTCCCAGTCATCCTTGTGTTCATACAAACCAGGCGAAAACCAAAGCTGCCTGTCCACCTTGGCTCACCTTGAGCCTAAAACGGTATCAATACTACGGTCAGAGTTGCTCTTGGTCAGGCCAGGTTGCATTCGGTGTGTGTTGGGTGTGTTCCTGTTGAGAAGTATCCCTCCCGACTCAGTCTCAATGGAGAATGAAGGAGAACACTACAGAGAGGATCATTTTTTACACTAGTTTTCTTTGTATACAATGAATGAGTGGAGAGGGTGGGTGGGGTCTTGGTATATAAACATGACCGAGCTGAATATAATCGTCATCATTATTAGTCATCATCATAATAAAAGTCTTTACATGGACATTGACTGACAGACACGGCACAAATTTTACACTGTTGCTCAGCTGAGAAAGGAGAGCAACAAAGGAGACAGGAGGAGAGAGCAGGAAGTGGGCTGTCCTTCAGGCCTCTGCAGTTCCTCTCCTCTATGCATCCTCTTGTTCCACTTGTCTCTGCTCCTCAGTGTCCTGCTTCTCCTCCTCCTCCTTTGCCTCCTCTCCTGTCTCCTCCGATCTTTTCTCATTGTCTTCTGTTGCTCCCTCAGTGTGGTCATTGGAGTCCGGTTCCTGGGGCTCTGAAGACCCACCCTCTGCATTCCCCTGCCCAGTCTGGAGCTCGTCAGCTGGAGTTGGGTCTGGGTCTGAAGCTGAGGTAGAGGGGATGGAGGGAGATGAAGAGGTGCCTGGGTGGGAGGTACCACCAGCCTTATCTGTACTTTCTCTCTCCTCTCCATCTCCAGTTGCTGCCTTCTCCCTCTCCTCTTCTCGCTCGCATTCTTCTCTTCCTCTCTTCTTTCTCCTCTTGGGGCTGCCTGGAGAGCTATCAACTGCACCAGGGGGCATGGCTGGAAGTGCCATGATGCCACCATGTGGCAAGAACATGTGTGGGTAAAGCAAACCGTGGGACATGCCCGGGATTAGGAAAGGGTTGAAGGTAAGATGGCTGCCAGTGCCAGCTCCAAGATGTGCAGAGCTGAGGTGGGCCCTGGTGGTGGAGGTAATGATGGCTGCTGCTTCTGCCGCTACTGGTCGTTTGTTAGCCTCTGCAGCGCCTTTCTCCTCCCGCGTCCTGTCCTTTTCGCCACCAGCAGCAGGGGCGCTGCCCTCTCTTTCTGCAGGCGTTGTCGAAGAAGGGCTGGCCGCCTCAGTTGCAGACGGTGCGGTTGTCGTGGTGACCTTCACAGCAGACGCTGAAGAAGAGGAGGAAGTCGAGGAGGAGGAGGAGCTGGGATGAGGAGAAGGTGGCGGTGGCGTGTGTGCCATCATGGTGCCAACGCTGAACAAAGCATGCTGTGGGATTGCAGCCCCATGGGGGTGCGGGATTCCATGCAGCATCATGGGTAACATACTCAGACCATTCTTGGCATCTTCGGCAGACCCCCCAGCTCCTCCCGCTGAGACAGCTGCAGGGAAACCATGCGGGAATCCAGCTGCCATAATCCCAGAGATGGGAATTCCAGGGATACCACTGCGGAGATTTTGCATGGCCACCATGGAGTCCATGCTGCCAATCAAACCACCATTCATGAAGAGAGGAGGACCGAGACCCGGTGAGGAAGAGTCCGAGACGGACAGGAGAGGTTTAGGCATTTCGCTGCGAGGTCGACGTCCACGGCGGCGGGAGCTTGGGTCCTTGTTGACGGGTTCTGTGAGGATCCGAGAGAACTTCCCTTCAGGAAGGAAACCCTGCAAGAGGAGGCCATGAGACAACACATTAGTGCACAAGAACAACTGGAACTGACAAAGTATCGCAGGTAGAAGAACAGCCATAGGAAAATTCAAAAGGACAATTAAAAGCATCATTTTTTTTTTTTTTTTAGTCTTTCACTGGTCTGACACTCCTGTGAGAGTAGAGATGACGCTCTCTTTCCAAATCTACTTGCTTGCATACTTGCATTTTTAGTATGGCACCAATTGGTTGTTTTAGCATGAAAACTATACAACTAACTGAATGAGAGTGAAATAAGTTTCAGCGCAACAGATTTTCAAAATTTTCAGGGCTTTCACAAAAACATCCTAAAAAGTGGCAGTAATTACAACTCATGCCTGATTCTCTACATCAGAAAAAGATCTGTAGCTTCTTATGTCAGCTTTCTGCAGTCTGTGATATCCTGCTACACAGGCTTGATGTGCATGGCATTTCTGAGGAAATGTTACACTTGGGGCTCGTTGTCTTTTACAACTGATGTCAGAGAGGGGCAAAACACACCCTGTTGACATCCAATGCTACACAGTATCATACTCACAGAGTGTTTGACCACATCAGCCCAGTCTGGAGCCACATAGTATTCCGAGTTGGCATCCAACCATCTAGAGAGCTCCTTTATGGCCGGAGCCATAGCACCACCAAGCTGCAAAGTAGGAAAACCAGCACAGTGTAGTTGCAATGATATCAAATTGTATGTAAGCTTTTTCTAGCTTCCCCTACTCAAAGGCGGCCTGTATTATTGGTGGACAGCAAAGCGCCACCAAACTGCAGCAAAGGAAGCAATAACACAGCAATCCTTCTACTTCCCATGGCTGAACTTTCATTGGTTCAGTTTTATGTTTTAAAATGAACACTTTTATTTGATTTTTGTGTTTCATGTATTTTATATGTGTGTGTTTTCTACCCTGCGTCCAGTGCCGCGGTGCACAACTGGGACCCTCTCCTCCCCCGTCAAAGAGTTTATATCCAGCTTGGTGGGATCTTTACAGCGATGCCTCCTCTGTTTGGGACGCTCTACAAAACCATGCAACAGACCTGCACCAGACTGCACAGTAGCCAGGGAGGGTAGATGGGGAAAAAGGTTGTAAGTGCCAATTAATCTGAGCATAAAAGAATAAGTGCTCAACTGTAGCCTCAGCAGAGAACATTCCAATACAGAAAAGGCAAAATATAAAGAATACAACACAGCAGGATTTAGAGCATTACAATCCTAGAAATCCTCGACTTACATGAGCAAATGCCGGCAGATCCATGGTGTAGCCTGGATTCTGTCTCAGCCACTCAATTAGACCTTTGCCGGCTGCCTCTCTGTCAATGGCCACAATCTCTGGCTGAGGAGGTGTCTGGGTTGGGGTGGGAGTAGAAGAGGAGGACGGTGTGGGAGGACCTGCAGGTCGCTCTGAGGGAGAGGGGGATGGCGAGGAGGTGGAGGAGGAAACAGAAGAGTGGCTGATCACCTCAACCCGGCCCTGTACATGGAGAGACAGACACATATAGATAACACAAGATTTACTTTCTTCTTTCTTTTTTAATCAACTTTATCTTTTGTTTTTTGTCCCCAAAATGTTCTCGGTGGTGCTTCTCTTTCACTCTGAAGTAAGTGCAACTATTCTAAATGCCCTTACTCTGAAAAGGCCCTCCTCCCTCTACCCACCTGTGATTCAGGGAGGTGCAGTCCTCGGCTCTTGGTGAACTCAGAGTACAGAGCTTCCACATTTCTCCTCCTCCCTCTCCTCCTCCTCATTGAATCATCTCCCCTCAGGCTCCCGTTAACTATTTGTCCTGTTACCGGATGGATGAGCCCCGCCTGCAGAATTCCGGCCATGTCGATTCCCACGGGGCCTGGCAGCGGGGCCGTGATGGGAGGTGGCGGTGGTATCTTATGACTGCTGCCCGCACCAGCATTGAGGTGGCTGATTCCTGGTGCAACCACAGCTTCATTTGTTCCAATGCTACTCGTGGTGCTTATTTCTCCTGAAGACTTGGTCAGATCTATGGCTGCTTCTTGCCAGCCATTTATCAATATGGCTCCTGTACGGTGAGAGGGCGGAGCAACCACGGGTGCTTTATCACTACTGGAGCTTGTGGTAACAGCAGTGTGGCATGACGATGCAGACTTTCCAGCTAAAACCTTGGCAGCTGCCGCAGCAGCGGCTTCATAGTCGAAAGACCTCCGACCTCCTGCTCGTTTGAGCTCAGGGAGGAAGGCAGGAGCCACAAGCCTCTCCTGTAACAGAGGCAAGGAGGTAAGGCGCCAAGCTCCGCGCCCGCATGCGCCGCCCCGCGGCATGTACTGTCAGGGTGGACAGGGTGGGTGAGGGGTAGACAAGAATGGGAGAGAGATGATGGCTTTATTAAACATACATATGGACTGAGACACAACACAGTGGCGGCTGTCAACTAGACCTGGGTAAAACTGTTAGATATTTAAAATGTTTTTGTTTGTTTTTTTCCTGAGAGTGAGTGTGTCATCTTTGGATGCTGCTTCAGGCACCTGACAAGTTAACTTGTTTACATCTGAAAGTATGAGACACGGAACAAACAGCTCATAATCCATCTGTTCGCTGGCCTATGGTGTCAAACATTTTGTAAACAATCCTTTTGGTTTAAAAACGCTGAAGGCTAAGCAGCCAGAATATAAACTCAGAGCAGAGACACAAATCTGGTCATTATTCTCACTCTCGCATATATGAAATGTGTCTTTATAGATATATGACAACTTGCCCAAGTCTAATCTCCACATTTATATTATCAACAGTACACATTACTGAGACAGGAAACTTCACAATAAGCAACAAAGCAATGGTGTGGATTAGAGGTGCCCAGTGCTAATAGTTTTATTTATAACTATTGCAGTTATATTTTATATAGAACATAACAATGAAGAGTTAAGGAGACACATACAAACAAACAAAATCTTTAGCAGAAAATGAAAAACTCGGTCAGACTCATGATGCATTTTGCAAAGACCTGGTCAGTCAGTTGATTATAGTCAGTCTAAAGTCAGCCTTGTTAGCACTTTAAGCAAACTGGGCACAACTTGTATGAGCCATGGCATGGGAGAGATAAATGCTGACAGATGACAGATACACCGATATGTGCAACAAAGGGAGTTAATTTATTCATTCACTCTTCGAGTCTCACCTTAGGTAGTCTTGTGAGAGGGGGAGGAATGGAAAATCCCAGTGCAGGATTCGCCTGCTGCACCCTGGCCTGGGTTGGGACAGAGCCCGAGGCCGTGGTGGAGAGAAAACCTGCTCGGTGTTGGTGGTGCTGGGCTAAACTGTTGGCCAAGCAGGAGTTGGCAGCCAGGGCGGCTGGTGAGTCATACTGCTCGCTAGATGAAGGCCACTTCCCCTTAAGGATGGCGTGGCAGATGCTGTCCAGGCGGTTGATGATTACTCTATCCTACAGGGGCCATAAAAATAAGCAGAGAAATTAATTAATAAACACGAATAACTTAATTTACAAGAAGTGTACCAAGTGCCACAAAATTTAGCTAAAATGTAAAACTCATTTTGTCTTTTCAGACTTTCTAAGCAGCGTCAGCACTGTCCTCTAAATGAAAGCAGTGAAATTGCCGGTGAGAACTCAAAACAGGGTATTTTTGCTTCAAATCGGCAAAAACAAAAACATTTTCCTGCAAAAGAGGAAGAGCAGAATTTATAAAAAATAATTATTCTAACTTAAGTCAAAGGAGCTTGCAAAGAAAAGCGTCTGGACGTTTCTCGGATGAGAGGTGAAACGTCTTCAAGCAACTTAAAGAAGTCCAGACGCTTTTCTTTCCAAGCTCCTTTGACTACGATGACCTGGATGACTGAGAACCTTCACAGACATATTCTAACTTAACTGTTAAAAATGTTTTAACCATGGGAGAATCAACGTCTACTCTTAAATATTTTGTAAACACATCACATCACTGAGTAATAGTAATACAGTAATAGTTAAACATATATTTTACCTTTGGCCACTCAGAAAATGAGTACAGTGCTTTCTCCTGTAACAGCTGAGCGATGGTTGGCTCTCTGGTTTCATGAAGGCTGTCAGGAATCTCACACACTGAAATGGGAGCTGCAAACCTGGGGCTGGCAGAAAACCCTTCGACCACAGGCACTGTGCAAAATGGAAATGGGTTAAGTACAAACAAATGAATTTAAGTGTGAAAGGTGAATTAACTTCATGAAAGTCTCAGCATCCTCACCGGGTGTACTGGGTCTCTCCTCCTTTACTTGGCCTTTCAACTCTGCACTTTCTGAGGTTTCTACTAGGCCATCATTCTGCTCAAGCTTTGGGGTCAGGACTGTGCTATCTGCCTCCAACATCTCGTGTTTTGTCTCAGTTTTGACCTCAGATAACGCTGTAAACCCAAGGACCTCTGGCTTGGCCTCAGGTTTTATCTCAGAACTTTCTGGGTAGCTTGTGAACCCCAGACCCTCAGCCTTGGCTTCAGGCTTGATGACAGATGTCTCAGGAAAAGCTGCTAACCTCAGGTCTTCAGGCTTTGCCTCGGTCTTAAGCTTAGGACTCTCTGGATAAGCACTAAACCCCAGAGCTAATGGTTTGACCTCTGATTTGATTTCGCTGCCACCTGCATAGGCTACAAACTGCAAAAATTCAGGTTTAGTGTCTAAATGCTCTGGCTTCATACGAAAGCTCAGATCTTCAGGTTTAGTCTCCAGTGTTTCAGGTTTAATCGGATATTCTAACTGCTCTGCTTTGGTCACCAATCCTTCTGACTTTACGGGGTAGGAAAAGAAACTGGTGTGTTTGACTTCAGAGCTATCAGGGCAAACATCCTCAATAGTCTCTGTCTTGGTGTCTTCAATCTTGACTGGTAGCAACAATTGCTCTGGTTTCTCCTCACCATCGGGTAAATGAGAAAATTTAAGGTCAGATGGCTTTGTGTCGATGTTGTTCACAGGCAGAGTTGAGCCCATTTTGATTTCATTTTGATCGAGCAGGTTATCTTTGCTGTCCTGATCAAGGGAGAATTTTAGTGCGTTATTCTTACAATCTCTGCTGCCATCGGGCAAGTTCAGGTCTTCGTCTGAACCCTTGCAGTGTGCCATGGAGGCTTCATTTTTGGCTTCCTCCATGCTGTTGCTCTCTCTGGTGGTTTCAGTAGAGTTTGATGGTTGTGTAGGGGATGACACAGAAACAGAAGGGCAGGAGAGCTGTCCAAATTGCGAGTAAATGCTACCCAACTCCATCTCATTGGTTTTGACATCTAGTTGTTTCAAACGCTTTTCTTCCTCCTCATCACAGGGTTGTACAACCGGAACATCAAACGGAGAAACATTATCCTCTTGCCCTTCGGAAATCTCATCTACCTGATCTGCTAGATCTGTGCGACCCATCAAGCTGCCCTGTCTGGACTTTTTTGGAATTCCTTTCATTTGCACAAACTCTTCAGTTGTGTTGCACATCAATGCTTCAGTGTCAAGAGAATTTTCAATAGACCGTTCCTCCACCGCTTGGTACAAAATCAACCCCTCCACCTCCTCCGTAGGCTCTTCAATAGATAGGCTGCCCTCCTGTTCGAGCTTTCCAAGATAAGAGTGCACGTCTTGGGGTGAGTCCTTTTTATGCTCTGCTTGGTCAAAGCGACCCTCGAGGTCTTGAGACATTTGGATAAAGACTTCCTTCCTCTCGCCCTGTTCTCCAAGGGCAGACTCTGATTCTATCCCTTCTAACTCTGGCACTTCCATGGGTGGATTCAAAACTCCCAAACTTTGGTCTGCACCTGCAAGCAAAAAACATTGAGATGTAATGTAGGGGACATAGTAGTGGTTGGTGTTATCTCTTCATTTTTTTAATCCTCAGATTGGGGCGTAAAACATTAGACGGTTTAAAGTTATTAAGAGGCTTTGCCATAGTGTATACGGCCTAAAGAAATCTTAAAACATCAGGACATTTCATTAGCAACTGACATAATTTATGATATATTAACATGTATGTATGACAGCAACTTGTACATCTTTACAAACTGAATATTTGTGATCATTCCTGAAAAAAAAAAAAAAAGTAGGTTAAATACTATGCTCAATATTTTCCCTTTGACATACCTTGGTTTGGATTACATTCCTCTCCTTCCAGATGTTTGTCTCTTTGTTTTTCCACATTCTGTTCCAAGGTCTCCCTTGACAAGTCTTCAACTTCTTCCTCCTCCTTATCATCAAACTCAAAGCCGGTACTTTCCTCCCGATCATCTCCATCCTCCACAGGATTAGTCAGGCTCTCAGAGACATCAGAGTGCCCCAGTCCATCCTGTGGCTCATGGGCAGTGATGTCAGACAGAGAAAGTGGAGGAGGGGGTACGTACGGCAGAGGAGGACTTGCTGACAGGTCTGTGTGATCTGCACTCGGTTCTTCATTCACACCAATGTCCTGGACACAAAATATAGGTGTTAGATTTATTGAAGCCTAAATGGCATTGCTCATTTTGGCAATAATATAATACTACTGATTATTAACTTTAGTTTACTTGTGTAATGATGGTGTGATCAAGTCGCAGCTTTCCAACATTTAAATTGATTTAAAACAAAAAAAAACAAACAAAAAAAACACACAGGAAGCTATTCATCGCTGCAATAAAAAAAAAATACTGGCGACACCAGTGTTACCCCTCAAGCTCCTAGTAGACAACCTATGGTATCAATTTTAAAATTCTACATCACCTTGTTTTCAAGTTATCATATTCACGAGATTTTCAGAAAACTTGACCTCTGACCTTGAGGTTGAGGTCACTGAGACTCAAATTCATCCCAGATTTTTAATCAAAACATTTGTGAAATGAATTTGAAACTCCTATGTCGCCTTACTCTAAGGTATTACATTCACAAACTCGCGTGTCCATGCCGCCTGCAGGGTGACAACAACATGCCATCAGCCTTTTACGGCTGAGGGGTAAAAAAGGAAAGATGTAAATCGCACGATGTGAACATAATCTATAATGAACATTTCCAATGTCATAAAATTTAACATGCTATTTTTTTAACATTGATGTTAAACTGCAGCTAAAACAGCCATCTTTGAGAAGTCTTTCAGAATTTTATCTCAATTATTTATTTTTTTATTTATTTTTGCAAACTTTGCAATATTTTTTCTTCTATTCGACTGTGCAATAATCACTGTGCGATAGACTCACTCAAATGTGCAATCCACTGGTATCCCTATTTATCCATATTATATATTCTGTATTTATATATGTGTATATATGGTATATTTATGCTTATATCTTTACTCTTATTCCCCTCTATTGTATCTGTAACACGCAACTTCTGTCGGTGCTGTGCTACTAGAAACTGAATTCCCGGAGGAACCCACCTGAGGGATTAATAAAGTTTCATCTAATCTAATAGAATTTGAAAAGATGCCATTTTAGAAAATCATTTGGCAAATACTTGATAACTGCAGCCCTTAGTGTTTGGTAAATGTGTTTTACAGATCTTAAAATGTAAAATATGCAAAATCCAATGAATAGTTTCACTTGGAGCAATATGACCCTGACAAACATCAAAGATCAGCATTCATTTGAGCTTTACTGAAACACAACCCGTTCATTGAATATACTAACCGGAAGAAGAGGCAAAATGTCAGCAGTTAACAATGCAGCTGAGCACTTTTGTGTTTTCAATATTCCCTGCAACAGATTTTCCCCTTTACTTTTTCCTCTTTTGTTAGAGCAATTTTTCCATGTTTATCTACCGTCTGCCCCACTGGACACATTGCATTACATTATTTGAGCATTAAGCCGATAATATGAAAAGGGTTTCAGATTATTGTTATCTTGAGGGCTGTGATTACAAAGACATTTAAGATGATTTTAAAATTCATTTTATATTTATTTTGTAAGATGGCACTGTTATCCAGAGGGCACAGGCTGGTGAAACCAACCTTAAAGAGCATGTAACTTGAGGACAGTGGCTCAACAGAATCGCCTGCTGATGGATGGGAAGGAGGGGATGAGGGCGGAAGGCCCAAACACTCCTCCAGAGTTCCACCTTCCTCCCCTCCTCTGTCTCCCCCCTGTGCCTCCTCATCCTCCTCCTCCAGGAAGCCCGTCTCTAAGGTAGAAGGACCCAGGATTGGATCAGATTCATTGAACATATGGTGAGCAGGACTAGTGTGGTCCGTACTGTCCCAGGGAGCCTGCAATACAGAAGTGTAGGATGTCAAAGCACAGAAATAAGAAAACCTATGTGAATAACTTGAACTGTTAAATTTCAAATGGTTAGTTGATGACCAAAAACATTTTTATTATATTTTTATTAACCGAGTAGGTGTCATAATGTCAGATATTTGCTATAAAAATGCTTAAAACATATAAATTATAAATTTCCTATAAATTCAATTTTTTGCTTACGGCAGAAACAAAGCATCTCATGCAGTCCATACAGTTGACATTTCAATCACAGACATAGTTTATTATACAAGTCTTATTTAAATATCAGAGTAGTTATCTCAAATAACACTGCATACCTGTAACTGATCCAGCTCCACTGATGGTGCCATCAGCCCAGTTTCCTCTGACGAGCCCTGCTCACCAACGAGCACATCACTCCTTAGTTTTGAATCCAGGTCTGTCCCACCCACACCGTATGAGTTGAGCATGCTTTGACCTCCTGCAGCTGAGTTAAAGGGGAAACCGTTGAGGGCATCTTTGGAAACCTTTCCTCCATGTAAAGAATCTGCAGACATGGTGTCATGCTGTAGCGTGCCCAGCTCCAGAGTTTCATCCAAAGGTGGACAGTCAAGGAAATCTCCTCGAGGTCCAGGAACTATTCCCAGACTTGGTGAAGCTGAATCATGAGCATCCAATGGTGGAGGGTGAAGGTGAGGGTGAGAAGAAGAGGAAGAGGAAGGAGAGGGAGCAGATGGAGGTATAGGGTGTTGCGAGTGATGATGATGGTGGTGATGATGAGAGGATTGGTGGGGATATTCAGGAGGCTGAGGAGAGTGGCGACCGAGTCCCGAATCGTACAGACAGCAGTGAGGATGAGGAAGCTGGGGATGAGATGAGGAGGAGGATGAGATGCCAGGATGAGTCGCCAAGCCAGTGTGATGAGGGTGATGGTGGCTTTGAGGATGAAGGTGAGCAGGGTGTCCCCTGACATAGTTCCTGTGAGCCTCCAGGAAGCTCAGCTGAGGGTCGTTGAGGATGTAGAAGTCGGTGCGGCTCAAACCGTGGCGCGCTGCCCCAATAAGGAGGTCGCGGTCGTGTTTGCCAGACTCCCACCATACAGGGAGGTAGAGCGAGGGCCGGCACAGCTGAAGACGGGCTGAGAGTAACGGATGGCGGAGAACCTGAGAGAGGGATGCAGTTCAGAGACCAAGCTACTTTCTTAACTGAATGAAAATGTCTACATTTTATCCATTTTTATATTCACATAGTCAGAGAGATGGTCAGGTTTAGTAGACAGAAGTGTCGTTCTTTTGTTTTATGCTTTCTGGACAAATATGGTTTGACCCTTGGCACTAGACTCCCCAACACAACTAGCGAGTTAGCTGTGGGCATTACCTCAGCCCCAGTTTTTAAGCTGTGTAACCTGACGCATGATAAACAGTCTGACTTATAAACAGTTCACACTTTTGACCATGTAGAAAATGTCTATTCTGAGGTTAGATATGACGTCATTTGTAGGGAGTGTCTTTTTTTAATGACTTGTATACAGGTTCACCGATGATTCACTTTTTTATCTTTAGCCTTTTTTTGATGACACTGAAAAGAAGGGAGCTAAGGAGGGACAAATGAGGTTAATTTGAACCCCTCTAAACCATCAACACAAACTCAGAACAGTACAAGCAAGATAAACTTTGAAGTCAATGTCTAACAGAGTTCCATCGATGAAAAGGACGCTATTTGTTATTAAGCTTTGTTTCTTCAAAGAGCCCACCTGCTCTCTGATCTTGCGCAGCAGCTCGATGCGGTATAGCGTCCTAGCTGCTCTTTCTTCTGTCAGAGGCTCCACAATCACAGCGGGATCCACCAGTCCTGGGAGACGCAAGAGAAAGGGAGGGGAAGCAGAGAAAGAATAAAAGGATGAGAAACGGAAACAGTGACAGTCAATGTTGGCATAGAGACAGTGGAGAAGGCAGGAAAAATGCAGACCAGAGTAAAAGGGATGGAGAGTATTAGTGTGTTCAAGAGTCACTCCTGTCTTTAAATGATTTTGTGTTTTATCCTGCGCATATACAGGAGAGTAAGTTATGTGTTAATTATATGTTAACATGCAATTTGTAGTTAAATGAGTTATAAAAACTACATCTATGGAGGCTATTTTACTAGCAGGGGTCAGTAATGTTCCCAATGACGAGGTCCTCAAAAATGATCTGCAAGTTGACACTCTTATGACAAAGTCTAAACGATGTATTGTTTAACTGTAGGCTTAAGAAGTGTGGCTGAAAACCAAAAACCTGCAGTGCCCAGAAAACATTAACTGGAACATGAAGCTGAGCAATTAATACAAATTAGCAAGGGTTACCCTGTTGATAAAGTGAGTCCATCACAGATGTCAGTAACAACCCCAACCGGCATATTTATCATAAACAGTACCTTCTTCCTTCCTGGGTGGAAGCTTGCATGCTGTCCTGCACATGTTCACAAAGGAATTGAAGTATCTTTCCAGACTCTCATCAGTCTTCCTCTCCAGTCTGGCAAGAGCTCTGAACTGGGACCAGTCAAATGCCTTCCTCTCCGGGTCATACACCACCCCAAATGATGATACTGTGCGGTAAAAATCTGCTTGTTCTCGACGAGTCCACCTAAAAGGTCACAGAAAAATACAAATGACTGAATAAATACATATACTGAGAAACTGCATATAAATGCATGTGAAAGCAGATGCGTTCGTGTCTGAATGAAGATGCCGAGCAGCAGAGCCACAAAGGTAAGATTAAAGTATACGACAAAAGCTTGGTATCTCTGTCTTATGTCAAACATTTCTACCTTCTCTGCCACTCCAGAAACAGAGGGTCAGGTTCTGTAGCGACCACAGAACACCTTCTTAAATCTTCACCCAGCTGCCAAGCCAGTGGCCCACCAGCGTGATGACTATGAGCAGCTCCAGCTCCTCCGATTCCCATGCCAACGAGGCCATCGTGAAGCATAAAGTCATGCCTGAGCAGTGGCTCGCGTCGTAGTGTGAAGCGCTGGTAGGCAGTGATGAGGCGACGTAATCGGGCCGTCAAGGCGGGGCCTGTGGGCCAGAGGGGCCGGGCTTGGACAACATGGAGAGCTGCCACCCCGGTCCCGGTTCCTGTTGTCGTTGTGGTGACCAAAGTTCCATCTTGGGTGCACAGGTCACCTGACATCTGAGAGTCTGGAGAAAAGCCAGTCAGAGTCAGCACGTTAGATCCTTCACACACTGGATGTGTTTGAAGGTATACAAAAAAAAGAAGCATCTAAATAACCACTTATCATTCAGTACAAATGTGTGTCTATGAGGATAAAGCCTGCATTATTTATGTATTCTCTTATTTTGTTCAGCTCAGAGGGAACGTGAGGGTGTGATCCTATAAAAACACAAGGACCAGAGTATATTGCTGTCGATGTGTTTCTTCTCTTCTTCGTTTCTGTGTCACAGATATATGAAGAGCACGCGTGAAAGCAAAAAAGCAAAAAAGCCAAAAAGCCACTGCAGGCAAGATGAAGCATGCCTCTCCCAGGATTGTACAGACGTGACTGTGTTTAGTCATTGAAATATTAAAAAACTACTGCAAAAGAATAAGAAAATACATTTTCATATCTCTGATTCACAGCTTGGTTATTGGCACCAGCATCACCTCTCAACACGCTTCACTCTCGTTCACTGAACCACATCTTTTTCTTTCTTTCTCTGTATGTCTTTAAATAATAAAATGTTGTGTTTAAAAAGAGTAATCAACAACTTCTGAATATTATACCTTTAGCTACTAATACTGCTTTTGGTCGAGAATAAATAAATACCTCAATTTCAGAATTGAAATTAAAACTGTAAAATGATGTTTCCATACCAACTTTAAAGGAAACGTGATCAAATATTTGATTCAAATAGAAATCAACACCGAATCTAGTTAAAAAGAGCATCGCAGCTTTCCCTTAACAATGTGTGTCACTGCACTTATAATACTACAACAAAGATTTGAAGAAGCAAGCCTCATTATAACAATTATCCAAGTCCTTAGTAGAGCTCTAAGGAAATCAAGACTTCAGTGGAAAAGTGAAATAAGTTTTGATGGGAAATGTCGTGTTAAAACACCTCACGTCAGAACAGAGGAGTGAAATGTAATCGAGTGGAGGGAAATGACTGTATTTCAAACCATTTGAAAGAACGTCAGAGTAAGAAAAGAAAAAGTACGATTTGAAAAGTTAGGTTAGCCTTTAACAACCCACGAATGCCAAGAAATTATAAAGCTATCTATTAAAATTTGAATTATGTGTATGGTTGGTCCTTGAATGAGTAGTGGAGCTCTTCATTTGGTCTTCATATTAGTATGTAACACGTGTAACTGTCTCACCTGGACCAGTACTGTCTGGCTTGTCTGATGTATCGGTGCTGGAGCAGGTTTCCTCTCCCTGTGAATAACACAAAACACAAAAAATTAAATAAAAAAATAAATAAAATAAAATCACAAAAATCATCTTTTCTGTCACCTGGCTAAAAATATATACCTTTTTATTTCTTTATTATCTGTTACTGTTATTAGCTGTTACTTTTATCGTTGTGCTGAATATTATTTTTTTGTATCACATTTTCTTCTGTTGTTTTAACCCCATCTTTTCTTTACCTTAATTTAATATTTTTTGGTTTATTGTGTATTTTGCCTGTATTTGTGAATATTACTATATCATGTCCTTTATCATTTTCTGTTTTTTGTTTGCTTGTTTCTTTTGACCAATAATTAGTAATTGTTACAGCCGTGGCTCTATCTGACCCTGATTATTCCTTGTCTATGCTATTATCCACCGTTTTTCTACGACTGTGCGAACTCTTTGCTTCTGAGGGTCTCTTGAGTGTCCCTCAGAAGGTGTCCTCCTGAATGGCTGGCCTTGTGGGCTTGCGTGTTGATAACTGTGCTGGTTAATATCCAACACAGCATCTTGCCATTTAAAAAGCCTGTCAGCACAGGACTCTCACGACAGCAGCAGCATCTCAATCCTGACCGAGGTCTCAGTCAGAATGGGCACAGTTCTGTGAAAAGGACTCTAGAGTGTCCCATGATTCAATAGCTTGTAAAAAAACACTTTTAGAAGCAACGATTTAAAGTTTTCTGTATGACTTTATAAGTCTCTCACATCAGTGTGGAGGAATTTCAGCACAGTTTGTAGGGATGCACTGCTCTCTTAATACTCTATGGCAGGGGTGTCCAACTCCAGTCTTTGAGAGCTACGGTCCTGCAGCTTTTAGATGCATCCCTACTCCAACACAGTTGAACCAAAGGGTTGGATTACCTCTTCAGAATGCAATCAAGTTTGGCAAAGGCCCAGTAAAAAGCCATTCATTTGATTCAGCTGTGTCGGAACAAAGATGCATCTAAAAGCTGCAGGACAGTAGCTCTTGAGGACTGGATTTGGACACCCTTGCTCTATGGCATAGATTCATGTCATAGAGTGGTTTCACCACTGCATGTCTGTTGGGTTGCAGTATGTACTTTGCAGGCCACTGCAACGCAAGGATTCTCCTTCTTTTCAGCCATTCCCCATTAGATTTGCTGGTGTGTCTGGTATTATTGTCCTTTTACATCACCTGGTCTCACATGATTCATATGCTCTGCTCCCCTTATCCCTAGATCAGGGTGTAAGAGTAACAAGAATTCTTCTATACAATAAATCATTCTTTTAGATGGATTCTTCAGACTGGCCAATATAATTCTAATTAAAATCATGATACAGTAAGAATATTTCAATTATAGAACAGTGGCAGCTGCCAGTAGTACCCCTCAGTCTCCTAACAGATGCACCCGGGGTATGAATTTGAAAATCCCGTGCTGTTTTGTTCTGAAGTGATCACATTCACAAGATTTTAGAAAACTTGACCTCTGTGACCTCAACCTCTAAGTCAAAGATTCAAATTCATCCGAGATTTTTAGTAGATGCACCTATGGTATCAATTTGAAACTTTTATGTCGCCCTGCTTCTCGAGTTATAGCATTTACAATCATGGATGTCCTGGCTGCAACAACGGCAGTACCCCGTCAGCCGTTTTGGCTGAGGAGTAAAATAAATGATAATGAATGCAATACCACGCTGTTATTAAACTATGATCTATTGAAATGGACTATATGATCATATCACAAAGACACATTCCCTGTGAATGCCAGGTTTTTACAGATTGCCAAAAACTGACCTTAAGCCAAAAAATATTTTTGGAATTCATGTTTTGAGATGGTCGACAGCTTTTATATTCAGAGGTTAAACTTTCATTTTGGAGTTTATGTTAGTCACGCTGGACTTGCCAAATGAAACCTGACTGAGTAAGCAATAAAAACCTAGAGATAAGATTTTTGCATTTGGAAAACATTATCTGTTCTGCTGTCAAATGTATTAGAGCGTTTAAAAATGCACCATTAACTCAACCATTTTATTTTAATAGTACCTAGTAGCCATGCAAGTATTCAGCTTGCAAATGTCCAAAACGTAAAGAAATTCTTCCCTGAGGCAATTTTAATCCCCCTCCCCCATGCAAAATTACTTTTCCTTTTTTTTT